ACCTGCACATTCCCCTCACCATCCTGACTGGAAAATATATCCCTGCTCCTCTGTCACTGGATATACATCCTGGAACTCCTTCCCATGCCCGAAGACTACAACAGTTCAAAAAGGCAGCTCACCTTTATCTTCATCAGGGCAAATGTGGATGGGCGCTAAATGCTGCAGCATCCAGCAAAGCCCGAATCCAATGAAGAACTTGATCTTAAAATGAGAACAAGGAATGAGAATGCACTTGGAGATAAAAGCAATAGGAAACAATCGTAAAAGGTAATTGTGAAGAAGCCAAGTAAAATCAGAAAAACAGCTAGTCCAAGTCTTTTTTTAATTTCATGGGATATGGGCGTTGTTGGTCAGGCCAGCATTCAATGCCCATCTCTCATTTCCCTTGAACTGAAAAGCTTGTTCAGCCACTTCAGATTTAACCATATCACCGTGGGCCTGCAGTCACATTGAGGCCAGACCATGTAAGGATAGTGCATTCCCTTCTTTAAAAGACATTGAACCAAATGGATTTTTATAACAATTGATGATAACGGTCATTGTCACCATAACTGAGAGTAGACCTATACTGCAGGAGTTTTATAACCAAGTTTAAATTTCACAATCTGTCATGAAGTCAAACAAAATGGATAAACAGGAAGCAAAAATTCTTCGCAAGAACACCGATACAATTGGCAAACTGAAAAGAACAGATTTGGTAATTAAACAATCTTTGTTATTGTAAATTTAGAAAGGATGGTTCAGGTCATTGTAGGATTGCCATATTGCTCAGAGATACCTTAGGCAATGGAGAAAAGAGACAATACCAAGGATAGGAACTGAATCAGTGTGGATTGAAGAACAAGGAGAAACTAATCACCCCAATAAGAATGTGTGAAAATGCCATCTAATAAGGGAGGAGTAGTGAGAAGAGACCTGAATGCTAATTTACGAAATAAATAAAATACAGTAAATATAACCATCGTAGGTTTCAACTATCACCAAATAAGCTGTCTAAAAGTGCTAGTGAAGGGAAAGAGAAATGGAGTTTCTGGAATGTATTAAGGGCTCCTTTTTACCAAGATAAAAGCCCAAGAAGAGTGATATCAACGTCAGATCCTGAAGGTGAATGGAAGAATTAATTTCTTTGTTCTTTAATCCATATGGGTTCAGTTCCTATACTCGGTATTGTCTCTTTTCTCCATTGCCTAAGATATCACTGCGTAATATAGCAATCCTATGATGACCTAACACATCCTTTCTAAATTTATTAGAACAAAAAAGGTTATTTAGTGAATAAAACAGAGCAGACAAGAGATGAAACAGTGGGGAACATCTAGTCAATAGTGATCAGAAGATTAAAAAAAGAATAGTTTGACAAGGTTAACAAAAGGAATTGTGTCAGAAGATTGATAGACAGCTAATGTTATTCGTATGTTCCGAAAAGGAGGGAGAACAAACTAGGGAAGCATAGTCTAATTAGCTTAATGTTAGTGTTAGGAATGATAATAGAATCCTTACTCCTCAGTCAGAAATCTTTAGGTCAACAGAAAATATCTAGAAACCAAAAATATAATAAAGAATACTCATCACAGATTTACAAGAGAAGGTCATGCTTGACCAAACTCATTGAATTCTTATTGAAAATAAGGGTAATGTGATAGATGTAAATATTTTCACTTTTCAACTAATTTTTGATAAGCTATAAAGTAAAAGGCTTCTAGTTAATGTTGGAGTATATGAGTTTAATGAACAAATCATCAGAACGAAGAACAAACAGAGTCAATATAGGCCCATGTGCACAGGCATGATGGGGAATTGAACTATGTATTGTTAAGAAATAGATTGCAGAATTTTGGATAGGCTCAAGTTTACGGAGAATTCAAATGGAAAGAAAGTCAAGAGAGCACTAGATTAACATGGGCAATAGACATGTTTCAACAGCAAGTGAGTGAGGCTTGGTAGAGATGGACAACATCACAGAGGTGAAAGTAGACATTCTTAGTAATGCAGAGAATGTGGAATCAAAAGCTAAGCTCACGGTCAAGTAGGATGTTGGGCAGTGTAGCTCAGCCACAGTCAGTGACCAGGGAAAGGGATGAAGTTTGTGGCAGGGACTGGAGACAATGCTTCAGTTTTTCTTTCATTTCATTGGAGAAAATCTCTCCTTGTTGGAGAGATGGCAGACATGCAGTGAGAACAAAAATATAATCAATTTCAGACTTGAATATATTCACTGTGTGAGCATCTACAATCCTCTAGGTTAAAAGATTCACAAACACATCTGTGAAGTTTTCTCCCCATCTCAACCATAAAAGGCAGAACTTTTTACTGAGAACAAGACCTCAGTTGGGGAAACATTGACACAGTCAAATCATCTCAGAATCTTATATATTTCAATAAGATCAGCCCTTATTCTTCTAACTCCCGGAAAGTATAGATCCAATTAACTTACCAAGGCTCGAGTCACATGGAATGTCATTTGTGTGTTTGATTTTTAGCATTTCAGTGGAAATCTGAGTAGAGCTTTTAAACATGAAGTTGTAGAATAGACTTGGATTTGAGAGGCAACAAAAAACATTTGCAGAGCATTGTTGAAGTGGTTATTTGCAAGGTTACCATGTGTATATACTCACCAGTCACTTTGCCGACACAATAACCATTTACCGCTTCCTCCTGTTTCCTGTATGTCCCATTCTGGCTGGTTACAGGTCTAAATCACCCAACCTTGATTCCCATTATATTATTTGGTATAATAATCATTGCAGAACTCTGTAGAGGAGAATAATATTGTCAGAAATGACTAATATTTCTGATTTCTCAAAGTCGGGGCATCAGGAAGAACTAACACAGCCTTTCCCGCGATGATCGGATGTATTGTAGAGTTTTCTAAACCGTGAATTACGGTAGAGTGACAGCCTCCTCCCATACCCACATGTACGTTATTTAATTGTACCAGGAAACATAAACGCTTTCTAGGAATCGGCTGAGCGTTTGTTATTGAATTATTCACGACCAGCACTTCTATTGAAAATACTGTGGGTTTAAAACCAAGGCGAGAGAAATAAAATTCCCTCAACCATAAACCTGTCTTTCCAGTCCTTCTCCCTCACTCTCTGCTGGAAGAAACGAAACTACAAAGAAAGTCACAAGTGTCAGTCATGAATGCTTGAAAAGGCATGCAGCATAACAAGAGGGCACATGCTTTCAGCATTCGATATTCTTGTGGAATATCGCCCATCTAACCCTGCTGTCCTTACTAAAATTCGGGCACCACCTGAAGTGTTTGCACGTTCTAACTATTGCTAGCTTAACCCTTTCATGGCTAATAATAAAACCTCTGTCACAAAAGCAAAAGTTGATGAAACATCTCAGCAGGTCTGGCAGCATCTATGGACAGAAAACAGCGTTAACGTTTCGGGTCTAGTAACCCTTCTTCATAACTGATTCTGCTTGGGCAAAGATTGGTATATATGCAGAATCAGAGGTGGGGGGGGGGCAGGGAGTAAACGATAGGTGGAGATGGAACCCCAGAGATAGCGAGAAAAACAGCTGGACAAAGGAATGTATAAAGGTCAGCCTGAGAGAATCAATAGCTGCTAATGAGGATCATCAGTGAGTGAAAATGGGTTGTTTGTGGTAGCAGCTGGTGTGATGACAAGGCCTAGGGTGTGGGAGTTGGGGTAAGCACATGGGAGAAGGTGCTCAAGCCCTCAAATTGTTGAACTTGATATTGAGTCTAGAAGGCTGCAGGGTCCCCAAGTGGAAAATAAGGTGCTGTTCTTCCAGCTTGTGCTGAGCTTTGCTGGAGCACTGCAGCAAGCCTAAGATAGAAATCAAAAACAAAGTTGCCGGAAAAGCTCAGCAGGTCTGGCAGCATCTGTGAAGGAAAAAAGCGGAGTTAACATTTCAGATCTGGTGACCCTTCCTGAGAAATATTAGAGATATTAGACGAGAACATGATGGTGTGTTCAAATGGCAGGTATGTGGTGACTCAGGGTCTTTTTTGCAGACAGAACATAGGTGTTTTGCAAAGTGGTCACCCAGTTTGCACTTTGTCTCCTCAGTGTAGAGGAGACACATTGTGAATGCAGTAGACTAGATTGAGTGAAGAGCAGGTAAAGTGCTGCTTCACCTTTGGGCCCTTGGATAGTGAGGAGGGAGGAAATAATTGGGCAGGTGTTACATCTTCTGCAGTTGCAGGGGAAGGTGCCATGAGGCTGTGGGAGGGTGTTGGGAATGAAGGAGGGATAGACCAGGGTGTCCCAGAGGGAACAGTCTCTGCGGAAGGCTGACAAGGGAGGGGATTATGTGTCTGGTGGTGACATCGTGCTGGGGGTGGCAGAAACGGCAGCTAATGATCCTTTGGATGTGGATGCTGGTGGGATGGTAGGTGAGGACAAAGGGAACCCTGTCACTGTTATGGGAAGGAAGAAAAGGGGTGAGAGCCAAGGTGCGGGAGATGGGTCAGACCCGGCTGAGGTTCCTGTCAACTACAGTGCTGGAGAATCCTTGGTTAAGGAAGAAGGTGGACATTTTGGAGGCCTCCTTATCAAAGTTAGCAATAATCAGAACAGGTACAATGGAGACAGACAAGCTGGGAGAATGGAATAGAGTCTTTACAGAAGCAGGGCGTGAGGATGTATAGTTAAGGTAACTATGGGAGTCAGTAGGTTTGTAGTGGATCCTGGTAGGCTGTCTATCCCCAGAAATGGAAACAGATGTTGGCGAAGGGAAGGGAGGAGTCAGAGAAAGACCAAGTGAAGGTGAGGGCAGGGTGGAAACTGAAAATGAAATTGATAAACTTTTCCAATTCCAGACAAGAAAGGGAACGAGCACCAATGACTTTGCTGATATACCAGTGAAAGAGTTTTGGGTGGGGACCGGCATAGGACTGGAACAAGGAAAGTTCCACATACCCCACAATGACACAGGCATAACTGGGCCCATATGGGTACACATGCCCACACCTTTGACCAAAAGATAAGTGAAAGGGATTAAAGAACAAATTGTTCAAAATGTGGATAGATTCAGCCAGATGGAGGAGGGAGGTCGTGGTTGGGGATGTTTCAGACCTTGCTTTCCAGGAAGATGTGGAGAGCCCTGAGACTATCCTGATGGGGAATGGACGTGTAATGGGATTGCAAATCCATGGTGAGGAGGTGATGTCTGGAGCTTGTAAACTGGAAATTCTTTGTTGCTATCTGAATGGGGTCCAGCAGGGTAATAGGTGAGTGTGGGCACTGCTACTCAAATTATTGCTAGAACAAGATGCAGGGAAAGGAAGTATCTTCAATGTGAATGGGTGACAGGTGGAGAGATTGTGAGAGAGCAGGAGGGTGGGTGAATGTTAACTGTCTGAGGAGGTTAGAAACAAAAAAAAACTGCAGATGCCTGGAATCCAGGGTAGATAAACAGGAGGCTGGAACAACACAGTAGGCCAGGCAGCATCAGGCATTTTCTGAAGAAGGGTCTAGGCCCGAAACGTCAGCTTTCCTGCTCCTCTGATGCTGCTTGGCCTGCTGTGTTCATCCAACTCTACACCTTGTCATCTGGAGGAAAGGAGCAGTCGATGTTTCAGATATTACCCTGCTTCAGGACTGGATGTGGGGGTAGGGGGAGCTGCAGATAAAGTGGGTGGAGGCAGAATGGTGGTGATAGGTGGACACTGGTGGTAGGTATGACCTGGTTGGTTGATGGGAGGGATGAATCCTGTTGGTGGCTGGAGGGTGGGTGAGAAGGTGGAATGGAAGGGAGGAGGTGGGGCTGGAAAGGGACCCGGGGGATGGGTGGGAAGATTATTTGAAATTGGAGAACTCAGTGTTGAGTCCTCCGGGCTGTAGGGTGCCCAGGCGGTAGATAAGGTGTTGTTCTTCAAATTCACAAGGCTGCCTGGTCTGTTGTGTTCTTCCAGCATCTTGTTTGTCTGAGGAGGTTAAGGGTTAGAGGTTGTGAAAGGGATGAATGATTACACCAGTTCAGTGAAAAACACTGTAAGGATCAAAAGCTGTAGTGTGAAATGTCTACAATCTGATGGCCACTCTGGAGTTCCAATTTCATGTTTATGGTGGAATTAAGCCTAATCCAAATTAAATGCCATTAGATTTCAGTTTCCAAGGTTCCCACACTATGAATACATTTCATAAACCCACTGTGTTCTGTAGCAACGAACTGCAATTCAATAAACTCCATGGTTGGTTGTCTTAAAAATGCTACAAAATATCTTTCTCTCATTAAATTTTAAAATTAAAAGTAATGGACTAGAGCTCAGAATGCACGCGTTGTTGAAATCTCATCATGAACACGACAAAAGGGTCAATGTGGTGCTGACATTAATGCATTAGAGAATTTTACACATCCCTGGGGCATTGTAACATCAAGGCGCTTCTGCTTGTGTTATATGTGGGTCTAGTGTGTGTCTATTTGCCTCTTGCACAGACATCCTTTTAGAGTTCACTCTAAGACCTAGCACCTGAGTGAATTCTATTGCTCAACCAATTCTTTTCTGCTGTTATGAAATTGTGCATAACTTTTAGTGAGCTGGAGCTTGTCATTACGAGAGACAGATTGAGTGTGCAACACACTCACTTTCTCCATTAATTTCCATTAAAATCACAGGGCAGGAAACTGCTGCTGAATAGACGCCAGATTAAATATATCCCTGCAGCCAACATGATCACAAATAGGGTGGGGAACTTACACAACTTTTTCCACTGTCACGCTGCATGTTCTTCAGCCCCACATGTCCATCTCACAATCCTTGCGTTCAATTCTCCACATCGTAGCTTTTTTTTTATTCATTTATTTGCTCATGGGAAGTGGGCATCCCTGTCCAAGCCAGCATTTATTGCCCGTGTCAAAGGGCGTTTGCTGCTTGGAGTGGAGACAGCTCATGGGATGAAACCAGTAAACTTTACAACAAAGATTAGTGGAAATCTGGAACTCGGTCTGAGTAGATGACAGATGGTGCGGTTCAAATTAAAATTTTCAAGACTGAGACTTATGGACTTTTATTGGGGAGAAAAGGTTATGCACATAATCCTGGAAAATATAGCGCACACAGATACAAAAAAGGCTGATGGAGTGCTTGCCTTTCTGTCATGGAAGCTCCAATGCAAAAAGAAAGAAGGAGTCACACGTTTCCACCTCAGAAAGGAGCTATTGCCCTTGGAGAGGTTACAGAGCAGATGGTCCAGAATGATTAAATTAAAAGGACAAGATATATAAGTTCAGTTTTTATTCCCTTGAGTATGAAAGATTGTGATGTGATCTGATCAAAGCGCTTAGAATGATTAAGGGTTTCAATGAGGTAAATGCGGAGAAGATATTTCCTCTACTCAGGGACAATGGAACCAAAAGACAAAACTTACAATTAGAATGAAGCATTTGAAGAGTCAAAGCTGAAAGTACACTTTAACACAAAGGGTAGTGGGGATCTAGAACTCCTTCCCAGAAGGTTCTGATTGCAGGGTATAAATTGGAGCTTACAAAACTGAGATTAATTTTTATTGTGTGAACGATATGGAACAAAGGCAGGTAAATGGAGTTCAGTTGTAGATCAGCTATTATCTGAGTGAGTGTTGGGCAGGCTCAAAGGCTTAAATGACCTCCTCCCATTCCTCTGTCCCCACCATCCTGTTGACAGCTGTGCAGTGGCAGGCTTTGCCCATTCACCTTTCACTGTTGTAAAGCACTTTATTTTCCACATTCACATTACAGTCCCACATTCATTGGGGAATTAATTTGCCACTCCAGTAATGTACAGATAATACTCAGAGATTGTCTGGGTGTTTGATTGCCATGAAGAACCGAACTTGATGGGATATACACACGGTGATGCTGCTGTAGAGACTTGAGAACAGTGCAGGAATATAAAAACTCCTGCAGGAGGTTGAATGTAAAACACACAGACACAGCGTCTGGCTGGAGATTTCAGGACAGAATGCATAATTCTCAGACACTGGCCACCACCACAGATTTTGAATCAACTAGTGATTTTGTTACCTATCAGTGTAAAGATTAATCTCCCTCCCATCTGGTGCAGTGAAACAGTGCAGCACAAAAGTGGAGACTCTACTAAAGACTCCATCACACCATGACATCTGATAAATTTACAGCAATACTAACTCTGGCCCTTATTCCCTTTTATAACCAGCACAATGGTATTCATCACAAGCTCATTCTGTGATCTTGGTGCAGCTCAATTCCTTACTCTTGTGGCATTTTTCATACAGTAGATAGCTGATGGAGGGAAGGTCACAGATAAGGCCGCTGAAGATGGTTAGGCTGAGGACATTACTTTGAGGAACTCTGCAGAGATGTCCTGGAGCTGAAATAACTAACCTCCAACCGTCACAACAACTTTCTTTTTTAATTTTTCACCCCCCCCCCGTGCAAATGTGGCAAAACTACAGAATTCAGATCCGATCTATTAGTTGTGGGATTGGTTAGATCTGTCCATCACTTGCTGCTTGTATTGTTTGGAATACAGGCATACCCTCCTGCACTCTTCATTGTACCATGGTTATTCACCTGGCTTGATGGTAATGGGAGATGGGGGATATGCTGGACCATGAGGTTTCAGATTGTGGTTGAAAGCAATTCTGCTTCTGCTAATGGCCCACAGTGTCTGATCAATGCATTCAATTAGATCATAGCTGTATATATCCTTTAATACCACGTTTTGGTGTTATGTTCATATCCCTAATATCATTAGTTTCCAGAAATCAATCAATTGCTGTCTTGAATATGTTCAAAAATTGAGCTTCCACAGCCCTCTGAGACTGAGATTCCAAAGACTCACCATCCTCTGACTGCAGAAATTCCACCTCATCTCACACTTAGATGTCCTATCTCTTATTCTGAGATTATTTCTCTGGTCTAGATCCGCCAACCAGGGAAAATATCCTGCCTACATCTACCTTGTCATGTCCTGTGAGCAGCTTGGATGTTTCAATGGGATCACCTCACATTTTTTGAAACTCTAGAGAATATAGTTCCAGTTTCTTTAATCTATTATCGCAGGACAATTCTGCAATCGCAGGAACCAGTCTAATGGACCTCTGTTTCACTTCCATTATGTACAACATCTTTCTTTAGACAAGAAGACAAAACTGTACATCGTAATACAAACCCACAGAAGTAAATCACAGAATTGATACAGTGCAGAGGAAGGCCATTTGTCCCATCATGTCTGCACCAGTCCTATTACCTGGTGTCTTTTCCCCATATCCTTAGCCCACCATTTCTATCCAAATAATCATCCAATTCCCTCTTGAATGTGTCAATTGAACCTGTTTCCACTACATTTCCAGGCTGTGCATTCCAACCCTGAATAGTCGCTGTGTGAAAAAGTTTTTCTCATATCACTCTTGCTTCATTTACAATCACTTTAAATCTCTCTTCCCCAGTTCTGTTTTCTTTTACAAGCAAAATCAGCTTCTCTCTATCTACTCTGTCCAGCCCACTCATGATTTTGAAAACATCTGTCAAATCTCCTCTCAGCCTTCTTCCCTCCAAGGAGGACAGGCCCAACTTCTTCAATCTATCCTCATCACTTAAGTTTCTCATTCTTGGAGCCAATCTTGTAAATCAATTCTTCACTCTCTCCAATGCATTTGCATTATTCCCATAATGTGGTACCTGGGATTGGACACAATCATCCAGTTGAGGTCTAATCAGTGTCTTGTATAAGTTCAACATCATCTCCTTGCTCTTGTACTCTCTGCATCTTTTAATAAAGCGAGGAACACTGTATGCTTTATTAGTTTCTCTCTCCACCTTCTTGCTACCTCAATGATTAGTGCACATAGACACCCAGGCCCTTCTGCTCCTGCATCCTATTTAGAATTTTACCACCTATTTATACTGTCTTTCAATATTCTTCCCACCCAAAGTGCATTAACCTCACAGTCCCTGCATCGAACCTCACCTACCACCTAGCTGCCCACTCACCAACTGCAAAATCCTTTTACGGTTCCACACTATCCTCTTCATGGTTTAAAACTATAGCAAGACATAAGACCATAAGGCATAGGAGCAGAAATTAGGCCATTCAGCCCATCAAGTCTGCTCCACCATTCAATCATGGCTGATAGGTTTCTCGACCCCGTACTCCCGCTTTCTCCCATAACCTTTGGACCCCTTGACAATCAAGAACCTATCAATGACCTGGCCTCCACAACCTTCTGTGACAATGAATTCCATAAATTCACCATTCTCTA